ACACACACTCTCTCTCTCTCTCTCTCTCTCTCTCTCTCTCTCTCTCTCTCTCTCTCTCTCTCTCTCTCTCTCTCTCTACAATACGCTTGAAAAAGTTACTGGATTCTGATTGGTTAAAAAGGAGTGCAGTTTTCATGTAACACCAGTGCAAATTAAAATGAAGACATCCGAAGCTAGTACGAAGACACGGCTAGAAGACTACCGACGGTCATCTAACGTATTTCAAAGGTGGTCGAAGTTCACCCGAGGTCTTCCGGAGATAACCGAAGGTAATTAGCCGTTTTCCGATTACTGCCGAATATAAACGAATATCACCTGAACATTTCTGGACACCTCTGACAATCATCCAAACCCTTCCGAAGATTTAAGAAGATCGTCCGAAGCTGGCCGAAGACTTTCAAACATTGTTGGAACAGTTTTGCGAATATTTTCGGAAATTTTTGAAGATTTTTGGAATACCAAGCGCACTGCAGCCTACCTGAGAAAACTGTTTAGACAAAAACCGTAAATATTATGTTTTCAAGCGTATTATTAAACAGTAATCAGAGCCCTACGGGCTCGTGCATATTATGTTTTCTTGTGCATATTATGTTTTCAAGTGTGTTATTAACAAGTAATCACAGCCCTACGGGCTCGTACAATCTTCAGTCTTTAAAAAATTTACAAGTGCTCATTCATTCCAATGTCCAAATTGCACTCAGAATCATGTGATTTCCTATACAAAGATCATGTGATTTAGAAGTCATGTAAGAGGTATTAATTCGTAAACATGAATTCGAAGTATGCATCTGATCTCTTACGCTCATTACAAATTTTCGTACTTTGTCCTCATGTTCTATATTTAACAGTTAACATATAAATACAAAACGTAGTGACTTACTACGCAGATAAAGAAGCACACGATGACAGCAAGCGGAATAACTGAAGGAATCTTATTTGCGGGCCACCAAATGTAACACCTTACTTCCCTTATCGTAAAAGGACTTCGACTGAAGCCTGTAGGATAACTTGAACTTGAAGGCAGATCTGCAGGCTGAAATGAACCATCGTGGAAAACTGCGTTATGGCTTTGAAACGTTTTTGTTAATAATACAATTTAAAGGTTTGCTTTCATATGCAATTACAGTATGCAAATTTGGTGGCCGGGATCAGAGCAATATTGATCACCTCTTTCTGTCTGAACATGTAAAATATAAACGTATTTCAATCACCACTTCCAATAGGTTTGAAACCAGTTTGCAACCTTATCTAACTTAGATATAGGCAAAACGTCTTAAACGTTTTGCAATATACATTTTGAGAATACTAACACACGCAAGTAACCGCGTTTATAAAATAAATAAATAAAGGGCGCAGCGAAATGATTGTCATTCATGTAAAGTTCCTAATTGTGAATAAGGGTGACAAGGTCTTTGTAATAAATGTCAGTTTAAAACTTCTTTTCAGTTCTATAAATCTCTCGTTATGGTTTTCATACCAGCTTGATATAGCGAAACGCAGCTGAACAAAGCGCGCGATTTTCTGGGCATTATATTACCACTGCCGGCTTGAGTAATATTGAGCTGCTGTGAAACGATTTTAGTAATAAGCAGGGAGCCTAGGTATCCCGAATTATGCACTATGAGTCGATGAAGCCTATTCTATATTCCTAATTGCGCTGAACTGAAGGGCTTAGTCCCAAACATAGACCAATTAGGATCTATCAAACGGCGACAAATGTATCGGCTTGGAACAATATCCTGAATTAATATTTCGTATTACGTTGAATTCAATTATTCTGATTCCTCGATGTGCACAGATCTCAAACGTATATGCTACTGATAGACTACTAAAATGCGATACCTTGTGATGTCTTCCCATGATGGCTGCTTGTAATCAAGCGTTGTTTTCAATTATTGTTCGATGGAATCTTTATCCAAGTATACACAATTGTTTCAAGATGTACTCGAGTTCGCATCGACCGATTCCGAGAATCGAAAGCGGACCCAGTTTCCCCGCTGAATTTACATTTCTGCATGATTATTAGCTCGGGGATTCCCCCTGGCATCTAGCAACTGCGCCGATACAGATGCAGATGGAGTAATTGATGATATATTGCATTCTCAGTCCCTCTTTACAGTGGCCCAAATAAGGAAATCGCCCTTTTGAGAGACGGCGAAGAGAGTTTAAAACTGTTCTCCAGTAAAGGTCACGCAATATTTAGTCATTCAGTTCTTAACTTGTGCAAATTTTAAAATGGTAATGAACCTTAATTTATAGGATTACTAATCACAGTTCAGCTAGCTGAAGGAAGCATCCGAGCACAAGAGCCCATGTTCTGAGTTTGGAACTTATAAGGCATGGAGTTCTGATCATGGACACGAAATATCGTCGCTTGCCCATTGTGTGGTCGCTTAAGGCAGGTCGTTTGTTTTCATTATTTCAAGCTTCCTTTAGAAGGAAGCCTTTCTCATAACAAGTGTACAAAATGAACATCTTACTGTCTTAGAAGGATCTCGTATGATTAGGGTTCCAACAGACGGGACACACCTTTGGTGCAGCTGGTATAGCTAGCAGAAGACGTAACCTAAACGTCCACCGGCCATGTGAAATGCTGTTAACCACAAAGTCCAAACACCAGCAATTACAAACAAATTTATTGATCACCAAGATAAAGTTGGAAGAGTAGAACTCTTAATGGGAATTTTATATTTTACAGTTAACAGCTAGAGATTGGATTTGTATCAAAACAGGCAAGTTTGAAACTTTGTATCTGTTTAAAAATTACTGAATGCCTGATGAACACTATACCAGAACACAGTACACCGAAGTTATTCTCAATAATTACTGTTGACATATATTACATTTTTGGTAATTGACGAAAAAAGCAAGCGTACAAATTTAATATAAAATTTTACAGCTGTTAGACTAGATCAGTATCTTGCTTTTTCATGATGTACCAGTACCATTATCAAAAACTAATCATCAGTTAAATTTCCCATTTCTAAATGTAGCTACTCCTTCGTTATTTCATTAGACTAGTGTCAACATTATTACTTTGCTGAATTGCTGCTGTAATCACAGGGAATTACCAAGGAAAATGATGGAGGTAGGAGCCGATTTTTCGTATTTGACCAAGAGACGAAACAAACAGAATTATAAAAAAAACTAAGCTATTTAAGGAGCCTAGTTGAGGCATTTTGAGTTAGTTTGGCCACGTAGAAAATTAGCTTAGAATTGGAGAAAACCTGAAAATAGTAGTTTACTATGATAGAGAAAAACACCAGAGACACATTAATAAACTATGAAGGATCAAGTATGCTTAAGGATGCAGAAGATTAACACGGATTACAATCCACGAACTTGAAACATTTAGGCCTTTCAAAATGCGTACACCGTGACTTAGCTCCTTTAAATTCTTGAAACACGGTGTCGTATTGTTTTAGCAACATTACCAAGTTCTACTCTAGGTTTCTGGAGAACATCAATGAGGTACGAAATTGTTCTCCCTTGGCTTCCTAATTTCTCCAGCAATAACTTCGTAGGGCTTCGATTTTTTCCGCCCAAGTGTTCATAATATTTAAGTTCACATCTTGAAATTCCGGCGGCGTTGCCTACTTTCTGCCAACCAAACTGCTGGCTTTCAGCTCCATGAGGCACATCCAGTTTCATTACCAATATGTCCTCTAGGTCTGGAGGTATTTGTGATAAGTTGAGATCTAAAAACAAAAAGTACATTAAATAGAGTTCTCTTGTTTAGTTCAAAATGTAACAACAACATCTAGCTTAGCCTATTTCAATATGACACTCAAAACAATTTTTTAATAAGTTTAAGTTGACGTTAAACAAGTGCCAATAAACTAAAGTTGGTTACCGCTGTACAGCTGCATGTACTCTTCCGAAGAGCAGATTGTTAGTCAAAGGCAATCGATTTTTTCAAAGGTAGTTATATTATTGGAAAATTAATTTTCACTAATTCAGCCTTAAAAATAATGCAGACAGACAAAGAGAGAGTTTCCTTGAGATGAAGCTACATGTAATGCTCCCCGTTTGACATGTTTAGGCTACAAGCTGTATTCCTCGGGGGAAGGGGTGTATTCTGGTCTGTATTATCTTTCGGCTACTCTAAGCTAATTCACGTTGCTAAAGCTATAATGTTCGAAGGATATGATTTCCTTATTACCTTCTAATACTGTGGCAGCAGCAGTTTCATCCTGACTGAGTTCATTCCTGCCTTCTTTGTCTAATAACTCATCACATGAATCATCTTTCGATAAATTCAAATTAAGAAGAATTAATATTGTTGAATGAAAGTGTATCCGTTATAGAGAGTCAACCTCTTGAAGAGCACTCTTGGCACTGCTGTCACCTGTTTGTCAGTGACATCAAGTAATTGTTTCAAACTGGCTTGAGAGTGGAAACTCAACTTACACATAAGAAGTTAAAAAAGAAATAACAAGTAAACTGCTGATAAGAGACGATATACTAAATTGGGCATCCGCAGCCCATTCAATTCATCCTGTTTCTCAAACCTTGAATTAAATTCTTCAGCTGGTGTTTAAGTACTTGTTAATTATTATTATTATATATAATAATCGTAATAATAAACATATATTTAAGTATATGTAATAATATTAAATATAATTATATTTAATATAAATATTTCTTCCTACCTTCTTCAAGCTTTGATGTGCTGCTTAACTTCTTGTAACCCTTGCGCATTTTGTTAAAACACTTCTTGTATACAAGGTATATTAATAGTCCTATCAGACCAAGCAGAAGGACTGCAGCAATAGTTCCAACAAAGCTGCTTAGAAAGGAACCTGGCATTATTAATTGAGTTTGAGCTGCTGATGTAAGAGTCTTTGGGCTTTGTGATGTCAGTTGTCCTAATTCACTTTTTGTTGTAGTTGGGGAAGATACGGTTGGCTGAAAGGAGTTGAAATCCTTGTCTGGAAATGTTTGAGGAGCAGTCTGCTCTCTATCCTCATTAGCCAGGATGTTAGTGAGTTCAACACTGTTTTTCGTAGGTGAAGGCTCTTGCTTCTTTCCCAGAATATCAGCCTCCTCTTGAACGTATTTATTAATCTCAGGTGTCTCGAGAAGCTCAAAGTTACTTTGGCTGTTGGTGCTCTCCTTGTACTCCTCTTGTGCAGCAACTTTATCACTGATGTCGCGTTTAGTCTCCGAATGAGTAAGGTCTTCTTGTTTGTAATTTAGAACGCTTTCAAGTAACTTTGAATTTTCCTCACCCTCTTTACGTAGGCTGCTACCATTTGAAATAGAAGTAGTGTTGTAGGGATCATTCATATGTTTTGCAACCAGCCTGTTGAAAAAAGTGCTAAAATGTTTTTTCATAATGTTTGTTGTCCTGGTGCAGTTACCCTTGCACTTTTGTGATTTGAAACATTCCAATTTAGCGGAATAATTTTTACCACAGCAGGAGGAACAATGCTTGCAAGTGTGTGTATTATCGTCTTCGTAGTGCCTCCATGGGCAGTCCTTGCATTCTGTGTCTTTCTGTGCAGTACAGGAGTTGATAATCTTCCTGGAGCCACAATCAGAGCATACCTTGCAGGCAGTACTGTCAGTCTCATCTGAATACGTTCCTGGACTGCACGAAGTACACTCACCAGCTGCCCTTCTGACCAATGTTATACCACATGGTGGTGATGGTTCCTCCCCTGGTGGACATACAGGGCAGGATAAGCACCTGATCCTGCTACTGTTGCTACTGTCATTTTCAAGAATCGTGTACGTCTCTTGAGGACATTGCTCAAGGCCATCTGGATAAAATTCATTGTTGTCTTGTACATCTTTCCAGAAGGACCATACCTAACCGACCAAACCAGAGGAAACAATGAAAACAAGAATACATCTTACTCGACGTAGTTATTTGTTCATTTTGTAGTCTAGCATCCTGAACCAAAATATTTTGGGCTTAAGCCAATGCGTTTTGATCATCCTGTATTTGGCATGACAGTGTGATTTACATCCTCTTAGAAGGACCATATCTAACCGGCCAAACCAGTGGAAACAAAGGCAAAATTATTTTAGGTAGTTAACAATTCATTGTGTGTATCTATCAACGCGAACCAAAAACTCTTGAACTCATGCTAATGAGTTTTGATCATCCTGTATTTGCCATGACATTTACTATCACCCCTTGTCTATTCAAAAGAAACGACTCCATAATATATATGTATCTTATCGTTCCAATAATTCGAAGTGATGTACTTATCACATTACATATCAGCTATTGTAGCCTTTCACCTGTATCACCAAAGAATTGCAGTTCAAAGCATAGTTTGAGAGCCACATTCTACTGATGGAATTTATTATATGATGTTCTGTGTGGCATTTCTATTGTAGTATCTTAAAGGCTTCAGCTTAATCTATTTGGCTACCATACATGCTGTATATTAATACTCCAAGTGTAAAAGCGATTATTGGTAATTCTTCTTTGCTTGTACATACAAATCGTATAACAACAGCTTGACCTACCCAAAGTAAGAACAATAATCCAAAAATAAATAACAGTTTGACCAGGAGCTCCGCTTCTAATTCCATCATCCTTAATAGAGATTCAAGTTGAGTTGCCCTGAAAGATACTAAAATGCGACAATTTGGTTAAAATGGGGTTTTCAATGTCTACAAATTTTGAAACCGTATTATTTTTCGTTCCTACAGATTCCAGCGCCGTTTCCTTTCGAATTCGGTTTTGTGTATTAGCTGTATACTGATATTAGCTTTGGAATATACTGTATTCTCTCTTACGTTCCTGCATGTGCAGTGGTATAACTAAAGTGTTAGTATTCTCTGAATTCCCCAACAATTTCCGTTCCCATACTGACTCGAGTCATCAATTCCTCCAAATTGTTCGAATTCTTTATATCATAACACTATGTTATTTGGAACGTACTTGTCCAATTCTAGTGTTTTGTTGTCTAATAAACCGAAGCAAACCAAACGAGAAGCGGAAACCTTATGTAGATTCCCGTGATAAAAAATCCTGTTCTATTTAAGTTCTTCAAACAGAAGTTTTGTTAGTGGTTGATAAGCGGAAGCATAGCTAATGACCCTTCAATTCGCCATTGTCGATGAAAAATAATAAAAAAAGTATATATATTAAATGATAACATTTTAAGTGACTGGTATCGAAATCAAAACCATTTTGAAAATGACAAACCGAACAATTTTTGAATATGAAAACGATAACATTCATATTATGCATGTAATTATACTTAAGCTTCAGAAAGTGTATTCTGAGTATATAATACAGATATATCTTAATCGTTGGCAAAGAATTATCGGTAGGGTAGTGCTCGGGTTCTAATCTTAGGGCCACCAACTGATACTGTGAAACGAACCTCAGTAAAATGAATGCATGCAGTCCAAATATCGTTTTCGGCGTTTTGACAACTTTGACTGTTACACGACAGACGTTTTCGCCTGAAGCTAGGTTTGTGCAGTTTGTCGTAACCACGGCTTAGTAATTCCTTATATATAATCACATAAGTTATATGGCTTTATATCAAGCGTAGCGAATACATATCGATCCCATTTTTCCTCATGTTAAAATAACATTTTGTATAATATAGCGTTATAATACTTGCACAGGAACCTGAAAAATATATGTACTCCAAACAGATATCGGCCCACTCATGGTCTACCGAGTGAAGTAAAAGAAATTCACAGTATGAAAGATTTAAAACCAGCTATTAAAGTTAAGAGAAAAGAACAATTTCGAAAGTTCGTGTTCTTTTGACTTCTCCTTGATCATCATCGATCATCGATCATGAATTAGAAGGCCTGTTCAGTACATAATTTTCAACACAATGTCTTCCCGTGTAATGGAGTGAGCATCTGTTTCAGACGATTAGCTTAACTATAAGGGCGTTCTTTACTTAAAACAATTACCCCCTGTTTACTGTTATAGCACGGTAAAGCTTACAACAAACAAACGTACCTTACTGATATGAATAGAGCTTTTCCGTTTCCCGAGGACTGAACTCCTCGCAACAAACAAGGCATGCCACGTCGTCTATACGGAAGCTAAACAGGGAATGAGAGAACCCGGTTTGGCTCTTTTGGAAAGGTACCGGCGATTCTTTAAATTAAGAGCAGTTTCTCATTGAAGCTTCTGCTGTTTTTCTCACAAGATATCCAGCGGAAGTACAGATTATGTTCTAGGAAACGAAAGCATAATTACGGTGAACCCTGGCAACCCTAAAATGGCGTTCAACCGTTCAACCGTTCAACTATGCAAATCAATCGATATGTGTTTCTAGGAAAAATGCGATAATACCACATGAGGTCGAAGGTTCTAGATTATTGGGTTTCGGTGGCCAACAATTGTCCATGGCAAAACGCCCAGAACTCTTAACTATCTCAACTTTCAAGAACTTCGTTCCTTGTCACGGTTAGCTTGTAATCTCCACGTCATCCACGATTAAGCAATCTTTGATTAGGGATTTAATAATTCATTTTGCATAAACAATCAGAGTAAGTCTGCTTACTCTTAACCTTTATGTTCAATCTTGCTTTTGAAAGGTTCTCAGTTTTTTTTTCTTTTTTTTTTCACGAGACTTGATGACGCGTTTGATCATATTACGATGCGAGTCTATAATGATTTGTTTGGGCGTAAGATTAGATGGGTGTGGTTTCAAACTTTGTCAGGGGTAAATTCCAAGGCAAACGTCAAGATAACAGAAACAAAAAATATCTAAATTTATTTTTCATTCATTCATTCATTCATTCATGCAGTTATTGCTGCTACATTGTGATTCGTTTAGACGGAAGACCCATATATATGTATATGAAAAACTCGCAAAGAAAAATCTATTTCCAATTTTTTTCAAGTTTATTATTAACTCGTTATTTTTAAAAAAATTACATAAACTAGTCAGTGTTAAACTATCTTACAAAAATAATATTTACAATGTGTCAGTTACTTCGCCCAGGNGTACTCTATGAATCAATCAGATCACGACACGCCGAGAAACAGCTATTTCATAACATCACGTTGGAACCATCTAACCGTGAAAACTTGAAAGCGACGAAACATCGATGAACAATGAAGAAAACGTTTTCTCTGATACACGCGATATTTTTTTAGGTCTTGGTCTTTATCAATCACATACTCAGCTGACATAATCGTAACTTTCTGAATTTCCGTGACAGAAAAATCTGTTTGACCGTGAAAATGTTGATGTTCCTGTGTGTTTGATGTAATGGTCGAGATTCCTTCAACATGTACAGGTTATAAGGTTGAATATACAAATTTCCCTTTGAAATGTTCAGTGTTCAATAACTGGAGAAAGTAAATATGACGTAGACCTACCAATAGCTGGTGCTATTCCAACTGCACGACAAATTCTCCAGGCCAAAATATTAACCCAGCACTCCAGACGCTTCAACATACGCACCATGCAACATTGACTTCGTCGCAGTGTAAATCGGCCACTGCACTGAGCGTACTTGCACCTCACAGTGACTCCTCAGTGCTATGTAGCCTGTTAATACCCGGCTATATTCTGGTAGTAGTCGTAACGAGCGAAGGATGCTTTCACATGTCTTAATTTTAGTCAGCAGTTTGCAGAACGTTCTTCTGTTACCGACAACAGGCCAACCCGGAACAACTAATTAGCATTCCGCCAAATCGAGGTTAATGCTGCAATGGGAACGAGAAGGGGGAATCCCCTAAAATAGATATCGCGTGAGTTTCAGTTTCACATCAAACAAAAGCCTTTTGATGTTTCTAGCAGTTTGCCGAGACTGTTTCAAATATGTACGTTTTCAGACGGTGATGCTAATGATGCCTGCAGAGGTAAGAAGGACTATTACATGCGTAATCTACTGCCATAGCGGGAACTTTATAAATGGTCTGTACAGCACCCAATCTACCTGATCCTGAAAAAAAGTAACTCAGATTTTCTATATAGTGCGGAAATATAATTTACTATTTACTGTACGATTGCTTACCGCACGAGATGTTATTCATTGAAGAATTAAAACCAACTCGGAACGTGCAAAGCGTCTCAATTCGGGCAAAAATATTTGTATAATTTTGCCTCGCACTCATTATGTAAATTCATTTTACATCTTCATTAACGCGCAGAATTTGTATTCCTTATCGTAGAAACTCTTATTCTTGGACCATTTCAGCTTGAGTAAAAATAAAAAACAAACTGCGGCCACAAACGTAACAAAACAACGCATGCTACAAAAACCTTGATTTGAGAACTTAACGTTTCATTTTCTTCTACATACATCATCAGAAGTATAAAACGGTTAGCAGTTTGTTTTTTATTTGTATTCCTTGATTTTAAGCTGTGACCTTGACAATGGCGTCATGAGGACATCGAAACGTCGGTTTTTATCATTAGACCGAACAATAAAACATTTCCCCTAAAACGTGTCGATCCACCACTCTAGACATATCATAAGACACCGGTTATAACCCCACTCCCTCCTCCCCTATATATATAGTCTCCTCATTCAATTAGCTTTTAGTCGCTTGGCACCGGTATTCCGTGCGTTTCCAAAGCGATTGCATTGCCAGAGCGTACCCTACCCCCTCCCTCAAACACCGAGACTTAAGCCCACACCGGTTGAACGAAATCCGCTGAATCTTCATTTGCTAAAAGATGCCGATCTTTGCAACTTTATCTGAAAAAATTATCTATAAAAAATTTAGTGAAACGTTCATTTTACTGAGAACGGCTTAACTTTTCGAACCACGTTTTGACAGCCAGGCATGTTTTTTTCCAAATTTGGAATGTTTTTTATCAACAATTTTTGTACATTGTTAAGTACTTTTATGATTGATTCGTTGATTTGGTTTCTTCTGAGCCAGTTTTGGTTGCTTTCTTCGTTCTGAAAAGAGCAAGAAATCTGAGACAGCGGCTGTTTGGATATGAGATCATGGCCTAATTACCATGTGATAAAACGTCATCTTTCCATGTTGCTTATCTCAAAGGAAACAAAAAAATGCCCAATTTGACTTTACGGTAGCCATTTCAAACAACAACAGTACATTTAGTTCGTCTGTGTTTTCAATTCAGGAGGTTTAGGAAATGAAAAAGTTAGCGTTACCATGCTGTTCTTAAAATGTGTCTATTTTTTATTAATACATTTTCTTTATCATTACTTTTACGGAGACAATAAATTACCAGTTCCGGTGTCCGTTAATTTAATACACGCTGCCGTTTTAACAGGAAGCGATTTGCCTTAAATAAACCTCAATTCACACGATCACGATTTGGCCATGCATAATTTCCTAGCTTCTTTCAAATGTCATTTCTGCGAGGTGATGGTCCTTTGTTATAATACCACTAATAATTATAAGTAAGATATTCTGGTTTTTATGACACAGTACAGTGCACTGATGTTGTACGAAGTATTTATTTAGTGTAAGGAATGAAAAAAAGAAAAAACTTTGCAACAGTGAATAAATAATTCTTTTCCCGAATAATCAGCTCAGATTAAAACACGATAATTTCTTCAGAAGCACGTCTTTCATCTTTGACAGAGTTTGTTATCGGAACAATTTCAAAATATAAATAACTATGCAATCTCCTCTTTACTTGTAATTGAAAACTGGGTCATGCATTAGACATCGCTATTAGCACGGACTAATAAGAAAGTAGATACAGTAGATACAGCATATTTCTGCGCCAATAAAACCACGTGAAATGTAACGTTTATTGACTAGAAGCGAAAATCACCCTTGCCTTAAAACACATGAGTGCTTGTCCAGTTTTCCACTGAGATGCTTGCCAAAATTTTGTTTTTTCCACGGAAGAACTGAGAACGGACAGAAACCGTACTTTGCTACAACTGATCACGAAAGCACAGATAACGAAAGGAAAAGTGGAAACAATTGCAATATGGAACCAGTGTTCATTATGTAGATATAATTCACAAGCCAATGAAAACTTCAATCAACGTGCTCTACTGATTTTAAGATTACTCATTTATATTTTGAAATGCAAAGCAAAATTCATTGCAATATGCGATTGAAAAATGTTCTCAATATTTCTTGGACAGTTTATTTTATCTATTTTGTCTAGATGACGAAATGTAAAATTCATTTCAAGATTTTTTTTGCCGAGCAGTTTATAAACAACGACTGCCCCTACACACTAGTTGTTCGTTCAGAATTGCGTCTTTTCCAAACAGGTTTTTGGCGGAACATTTTACGGAGTTCCTTTTTAATATCGCGCTTTAATAACGCGTAAGCGATGGGATTAATAGCAGAATTAATGATAACTAGAAAGCGCACTACATTGTACAAGTTTTGGTTCATCACACATAATGACGTAAAATGACAAAATGAGCTGTAAACCTCGACCGAATAACAAATCAGAAATGTGACTACCACAGTTGTTATCACTTTCGTAGAAGAAGCTGATCGAGGACGTTTCATATTTGGTTGGTTGTGACGTAGTTGTATATTCAGTAGTGTGTCGCGGCGGCTGTGTTTCTGTGAGGTTATCACATTCCGCACGGTTACTAGGAGTAACACTAGACAAGGAATAAACTCGAACAGTGTCGTCCAGATGATTACGCTGACCTTAAAGTCTATGCGAAATAAACCCAAACTGGCACAAACGGACGGGATGAAGTAGAATGACAGTGGAATTATCCACGCCGCGGCTGTTACAACTGCGACGCGTCTAGCAGTCATAAGTAATGTGTAGCGAAGAGGACGGGTGATGGCAATATAGTGATCGAGAGTCATGGCAAAAAGATTACAGACTGAAGAGTAAATCATCAACACTGCAATATCGTCTCTGATCATCTCATTGCACGAAGTGAGTACAAAGTGGCATATCGCTTGTCCCGGATAGAAACATGCTCCAACACTTAAGTCAGCTATTGCAAGCGACAGGACAAATCTGTTGGCAGTCGTGCGAAGAATACGGCGTGCGAGAATCAAGTAGATAACAAGACCGTTTCCAACAACAGCCAGTATTGAAGGAAGCCATCCAACATTCCAGTACCAGCTGCTCATGATAAAGGAGTCGACATGTACGAGCTCCTAATTCCGATTCTAATTTCAATTCCCAATTCCGATTCTAGACATGCTGCAGAAATCTTGCATTGATCTTGAAAGCCTTGTATCCTACCTCTCTTGTCAGGTCATTAAGTTCACTGAAATGACGTTTTCAGCTTGCACTCGTTAATTCCTGTCGGAAAGTAGGAATAATTTGCACATGTCACCCGACCGAATACATTTTAAGTGACCGGATCATTTTCATTTCCAAGGAAAAACAATAGCTTTAAATCTAATAGCCTCTTTGAACTTATTTGTTTGTTGATAGGTGAGGGGTAAAATGGGAACAATTTCAGAGACAAAAATAGAAGTGCCATTTCGGAAACGTTACTCCGTTTATTCTTCTTAGAGTCATGTAGTAGGCTGGAAAACATGATTACATTTTTATGCGGAGACTTTGCACGTGCTTCCACGTGCTTTCCGTCGTTAGATCTTGAAAATTTAAAGCTACAAATACACTGATGGGGAAAATGTAGAGATTCGATGGATGTCCCAGGGTGGTTAAGTACCATCGATATTTAAAATTTTCTTAATTGATGTAAGGCATCTCAAAACNAGAATTAAAACCAACTCGGAACGTGCAAAGCGTCTCAATTCGGGCAAAAATATTTGTATAATTTTGCCTCGCACTCATTATGTAAATTCATTTTACATCTTCATTAACGCGCAGAATTTGTATTCCTTATCGTAGAAACTCTTATTCTTGGACCATTTCAGCTTGAGTAAAAATAAAAAACAAACTGCGGCCACAAACGTAACAAAACAACGCATGCTACAAAAACCTTGATTTGAGAACTTAACGTTTCATTTTCTTCTACATACATCATCAGAAGTATAAAACGGTTAGCAGTTTGTTTTTTATTTGTATTCCTTGATTTTAAGCTGTGACCTTGACAATGGCGTCATGAGGACATCGAAACGTCGGTTTTTATCATTAGACCGAACAATAAAACATTTCCCCTAAAACGTGTCGATCCACCACTCTAGACATATCATAAGACACCGGTTATAACCCCACTCCCTCCTCCCCTATATATATAGTCTCCTCATTCAATTAGCTTTTAGTCGCTTGGCACCGGTATTCCGTGCGTTTCCAAAGCGATTGCATTGCCAGAGCGTTCCCTACCCCCTCCCTCAAACACCGAGACTTAAGCCCACACCGGATGAACGAAATCCGCTGAATCTTCATTTGCTAAAAGATGCCGATCTTTGTAACTTTATCTGAAAAAATTATCTACAAAAAATTTAGTGAAACGTTCATTTTACTGACAACGGCTTAACTTTTCGAACCACGTTTTGACAGCCAGGCATGTTTTTTTCCAAATTTGGAATGTTTTTAATCAACAATTTTTGTACATTGTTAAGTACTTTTATGATTGATTCGTTGATTTGGTTTCTTCTGAGCCAGTTTTGGTTGCTTTCTTCGTTCTGAAAAGAGCAAGAAATCTGAGACAGCGGCTGTTTGGATATGAGATCATGGCCTAATTACCATGTGATAAAACGTCATCTTTCCATGTTGCTTATCTCAAAGGAAACAAAAAAATGCCCAATTTGACTTTACGGTAGCCATTTCAAACAACAACAGTACATTTAGTTCGTCTGTGTTTTCAATTCAGGAGGTTTAGGAAATGAAAAAGTTAGCGTTACCATGCTGTTCTTAAAATGTGTCTATTTTTTATTAATACATTTTCTTTATCATTACTTTTACGGAGACAATAAATTACCAGTTCCGGTGTCCGTTAATTTAATGCACGCTGCCGTTTTAACAGGAAGCGATTTGCCTTAAATAAACCTCAATTCACACGATCACGATTTGGCCATGCATAATTTCCTAGCTTCTTTCAAATGTCATTTCTGCGAGGTGATGGTCCTTTGTTATAATACCACTAATAATTATAAGTAAGATATTCTGGTTTTTATGACACAGTACAGTGCACTGATGTTGTACGAAGTATTTATTTAGTGTAAGGAATGAAAAAAAGAAAAAACTTTGCAACAGTGAATAAATAATTCTTTTCCCGAATAATCAGCTCAGATTAAAACACGATAATTTCTTCAGAAGCACGTCTTTCATCTTTGACAGAGTTTGTTATCGGAACAATTTCAAAATATAAATAACTATGCAATCTCCTCTTTACTTGTAATTGAAAACTGGGTCATGCATTAGACATCGCTATTAGCACGGACTAATAAGAAAGTAGATACAGTAGATACAGCATATTTCTGCGCCAATAAAACCACGTGAAATGTAACGTTTATTGACTAGAAGCGAAAATCACCCTTGCCTTAAAACACATGAGTGCTTGTCCAGTTTTCCACTGAGATGCTTGCCAAAATTTTGTTTTTTCCACGGAAGAACTGAGAACGGACAGAAACCGTACTTTGCTACAACTGATCACGAAAGCACAGATAACGAAAGGAAAAGTGGAAACAATTGCAATATGGAACCAGTGTTCATTATGTAGATATAATTCACAAGCCAATGAAAACTTCAATCAACGTGCTCTACTGATTTTAAGATTACTCATTTATATTTTGAAATGCAAAGCAAAATTCATTGCAATATGCGATTGAAAAATGTTCTCAATATTTCTTGGACAGTTTATTTTATCTATTTTGTCTAGATGACGAAATGTAAAATTCATTTCAAGATTTTTTTTGCCGAGCAGTTTATAAACAACGACTGCCCCTACACACTAGTTGTTCGTTCAGAATTGCGTCTTTTCCAAACAGGTTTTTGGCGGAACATTTTACGGAGTTCCTTTTTAATATCGCGCTTTAATAACGCGTAAGCGATGGGATTAATAGCAGAATTAATGATAACTAGAAAGCGCACTACATTGTACAAGTTTTGGTTCATCACACATAATGACGTAAAATGACAAAATGAGCTGTAAACCTCGACCGAATAACAAATCAGAAATGTGACTACCACAGTTGTTATCACTTTCGTAGAAGAAGCTGATCGAGGACGTTTCATATTTGGTTGGTTGTGACGTAGTTGTATATTCAGTAGTGTGTCGCGGCGGCTGTGTTTCTGTGAGGTTATCACATTCCGCACGGTTACTAGGAGTAACACTAGACAAGGAATAAACTCGAACAGTGTCGTCCAGATGATTACGCTGACCTTAAAGTCTATGCGAAATAAACCCAAACTGGCACAAACGGACGGGATGAAGTAGAATGACAGTGGAATTATCCACGCCGCGGCTGTTACAACTGCGACGCGTCTAGCAGTCATAAGTAATGTGTAGCGAAGAGGACGGGTGATGGCAATATAGTGATCGAGAGTCATGGCAAAAAGATTACAGACTGAAGAGTAAATCATCAACACTGCAATATCGTCTCTGATCATCTCATTGCACGAAGTGAGTACAAAGTGGCATATCGCTTGTCCCGGATAGAAACATGCTCCAACACTTAAGTCAGCTATTGCAAGCGACAGGACAAATCTGTTGGCAGTCGTGCGAAGAATACGGCGTGCGAGAATCAAGTAGATAACAAGACCGTTTCCAACAACAGCCAGTATTGAAGGAAGCCATCCAACATTCCAGTACCAGCTGCTCATGATAAAGGAGTCGACATGTACGAGCTCCTAATTCCGATTCTAATTTCAATTCCCAATTCCGATTCTAGACATGCTGCAGAAATCTTGCATTGATCTTGAAAGCCTTGTATCCTACCTCTCTTGTCAGGTCATTAAGTTCACTGAAATGACGTTTTCAGCTTGCACTCGTTAATTCCTGTCGGAAAGTAGGAATAATTTGCACATGTCACCCGACCGAATACATTTTAAGTGACCGGATCATTTTCATTTCCAAGGAAAAACAATAGCTTTAAATCTAATAGCCTCTTTGAACTTATTTGTTTGTTGATAGGTGAGGGGTAAAATGGGAACAATTTCAGAGACAAAAATAGAAGTGCCATTTCGGAAACGTTACTCCGTTTATTCTTCTTAGAGTCATGTAGTAGGCTGGAAAACATGATTACATTTTTATGCGGAGACTTTGCACGTGCTTCCACGTGCTTTCCGTCGTTAGATCTTGAAAATTTAAAGCTACAAATACACTGATGGGGAAAATGTAGAGATTCGATGGATGTCCCAGGGTGGTTAAGTACCATCGATATTTAAAATTTTCTTAATTGATGTAAGGCATCTCAAAACAAAGCTCTCATTTGCATTTAAGGGAATCGGTTCAAAGGGATCGCTTTAATGATAGTAGGGGAACACAACAGGAAGTAATTCAAATAATCATAGTTAGTAACTACTAACTATGAAATAATAATGGCAAAGTTTTGGTCACACGTTTTGCTTCCTCGAAAATTACATCTTTCTCAAATGTAGATGTATTTATCTTTCCCCATAGAAGCAATAGCACGTTTCACTGTTAGCTTTTCTCATTTGCATTACATATGATTTGCATTACATTAGATTTTATATTATTATTACTATTACTATTACTATTATTATTATTATTATTATTATTATTATTATTAGAAGAAATAAACTATTTTCTACAGTGTTTACATAATGGCTCCCTCCTGGGTTTCAACGTCAATATCGGTATATTACAAGGTAAAAGTAAATAAAAGAAATAAACTATTAAAACCTATTTATTATTGTTATTATTATTACCGTGAATATTTTTTCAAATTGTTTCTTTTTTCCCATAATTATTTTGTGTCCCCAGATTAGTATTGGATTTTCCCGGGCTACAAGGCATTGACATTTTAACAAAGTTTATATCTATCTGTCAACGTGGATGCGAGGCAATTCCGGGCTGAAACCACAAAATTGCCCGAAATTGTCTCACATACATGTTGGATTATGTTGGATTATATTGTAATGCAAATGAGAAAAGTTAACGCCAAAGATTACAAACAGAGGTTTGGCCAAAGTAGACTTTTAATTAACCATTTCTGCTCTTATATGAAGAAAATAAACAAGGATCGAAACTTTTTAGTTATTCGGTCTTAGCTTGCAGCAGTAGGCATGATTTGTTTCGGCTTTGACTGCAATGGGAAATTAAAGTGAAGGACACTAACAAACAGTAACAAGTAACCGGATCTTTTTTTTTTTAACAACAAGAGCTTATCGAAATGTCTATTTAAATGCAAACCAGGTATTTTGATAATATTTTGAGATATGTTGGCATTGTTGTTTAAATAAAATATTGAAATTGAAGCCACCCAAGGGGCTTCTCTTTTCAGTATTACCGAGTCATTTTCGCAATTCAAAATGATGCAATATGACTCCAGTTATACTAGCTTTAGGTTTGTAAAATAGATTGTCAAGGTACTTACACCGGGGCTAGTTACTCCCAGAAAAGTTGGGTGTGGGTGTGCAGCCCACTTCCCAAAATCCTTACCCTATTTATGACCAAAATCTGCTGTTATATCCTGTGCGACTTACATGAAGTAGTTGTTAGATGATATATTTAGTGTGACTGACATGAAGTATGTGTTAGAATTAAACCACGTGTTTTTAGAGTGTACACATCGAGCTCGAGTGAATTTGGAGTGTTACATCTGCCAATTTTGCTACCCTGTATATGACCTGGCCAAAAATTCGATGCCCTATTTATGACCTCTGCAGCTGGCACGGTTGCCCTAAACACAAGTTATGAAGGCTTTTGTTGACGGTCTTATTGAAAATGATGAAAACGTAGCTTCTTCTAAGAAACATACCCAATTCAAGACTAGAGTGCTAAGACCATACCCTAGTTAAGACCAAAATGGACAAAATCGATACCCTATTTATGACCAAAACGGCTGAAAAACCCTACCCTTTGGGGCCGCACATACAAATATAGCTCATATAAGGGAATACCCCCCCCCCCGGTACTTACCCTGATAATCTCTTGGTTTATACTGCCGACTTCGACTTCCAGAAATTCACTCTCGTTTCCTCATAGCCCGTCTGTTTATTTTTGTCAGATCTACGTCAGAGGTTCCAGTACTGGGATAAATCGGTGTCCTTCAATCCAGTGTGCTCTATAATATTAATGCTACGTGTATGTAGATTTCTTCATATATTGATTCCGTCAATATATATTTATGCTTGGACTTGTTCCCGCTATATCTGACTTCACGGGAAATAATACAGTCCGGCGCGAACTGACCAAATTTCAAATTTCCATACCTTAAAATTCCAAAATGGCGACCGTGTGCGCACTCGTTGTTGAGTAATTAACTATCACAGGGACGTCCCATATAATGATAGGCAAGTCGTTGTTTACCACCATATCTGCCTGCACGTCCTCTATCTTATGAGGTGCAAATTTCTTTTAAAGTAGTATCAGTTACTGGGTTGCCATGGTAATGTAACGATTCCTTGGTCTACGCGTAAGAGCAAAACTCCGATGTCATCTTCCAGCGGTTTTCAATTAAGTGCCCCAAGACCAAAACCAAAGTAATCACTCTAGCCAATCACAAATGACACAGCCGAATACAATGAACCAATCATAGCTCAAAGTAATTTCATGTAGCTGGCGCAAAGCGCGGGAAAACGAGTGCGAGTAAGTTACGATTGCTTTTGGTTTTACTTCTGATCGGACGAAAAAGTGGCGCAAGTTTTTTTAAAAGCAAATCGAGTAGCGTAGTAAGTGTAAAACCAAAAACTTTTCTACACACAAATAAAAAGCGCTCTAATGTAAGTTAAACAACATCAGGAAATCCACAGGAGCCGCATAAGGCGTGCCTACGGTGGCCAGTAAGGGACACCTCAATATTTTTCACTGTCACATAAAAAATTTTGCTTTGACGACTTAATAGATGAGCATAGCTTTCTTTTTTCGTCTTTTCTTTGTCTCTCGACCGCGATTCCATTAATCGCGATGGCGACTTATAACTTTCGATCGTTACTAATAACTCTCGATAGCGACTTATAACTCGCGATCGCGACTTATAACTCACGATCGCGACTAATAACTCCCGATCGCAACTTTATAACTCGCAATCGCAACTAATAACTCTCGATCGCGACTTATAACTCGCGATCGCGACTTATAACTCGCGATCGCGACTTATAACTCGCAATCGCGACTTATAACTGGCGATCGCAACTAATAACTCACGATCGCGACTTATAACTCGCGATCGCAACTTATAACTCACGATCGCAATTTATAACTCGCGATCGCTACTTATAACTCTCGATCGCGCCTTATAACTCTCGATCACAACTTATAACTCGCGATCGCGACTTATAACTCGCAATCGCGACTTATAACTGGCGATCGCAACTTATAACTCGCGATCGCGACTTATACCTCGCGATCGCGACTTATACCTCGCGATCGCGACTTATAACTCGCGATCGCGACTTACAACTCGCGATCGCAACTTATAACTCGCGATCGCGACTTATAACTCACGATCACGAGTTATAACTCTCGATCGCAACTTATAACTCTCGATCGCGACTTATAACTCGCAGTCGCGACTTATAACTGGCGATCGCAACTTATAACTCGCGATCGCGATTTACAACTCGCGATCGCGACTTATAACTCACGATCACGAGTCGTAACTCTCGATCGCAACTTATAACTCGCGATCGCGACTTATAGCTCGCAATCGCGACTTATAACTGGCGATCGCAACTTATAACTAGCGATCGCGACTTATAACTCGCGATCGAAACTTATAACTCGCGATCGCGACTTATAACTCGCGATCGCAAATTATAACTCGCGATCGCGACTTATAACTCGCGATCGCGTCCTATAACTCGCGATCGCAACTTAAAACTCGCGATCGCGACTTATAACTCTCGATCGCAACTTAAAACTCGCGATCGCGACTTATAACTCTCGATCGCCGCTTATAACTCGCGATGGCAACTTATAACTCGCGATCGCGACCTATAACTCGCGATCGCAACTTATAACTCGCGATCGCAAATTATAACTCGCGATGGCGACTTATAACTCGCGATCGCGATTTACAACTCTCGATCGCAACTTATAACTCGCGATCGCGACTTATAACTTTCGATCGCAGCCTATAACTCGCGATTGCARCTTATAACKCGCGATCGCGCCTTATAACTCGCAATCGCGACTTATAACTCGCAATCGCGACTTATAACTGGCGATYGCARCTTATAACTCGCGATSGCGMCTTATAACTCGCGATCGCGACTTATAACTCGSRATCGCGACTTATAACTSRCGATCGCAASTTATAACTYGYGATSGCGACTTATAACTCGCGATTGCAACTTATAAATCTAGTTCRAGTTAGCGGGGAATTCGAGTTATCCGAGTTCGAATTAACCGAGTTAAAATGACTGAAAAGTGGGGTCGAATCCTTGGAAAATGGGACTTGGTTCGAGTTAGCGGGGAATTCGAGTTATCCGAGTTCGAGTTACCAGGATTCTACTGCACTTCGCTGTGACTTTTCTTGTCGCCCTTTTCCGATTTCATGCCACGAAGCTCTTCCAAATTACATTCCTAATTTACGTAGCTGCAATGGAAATCGGGAGGCCTTGATAGAGGATTACTTCTGTCTTGGATTTTTTTAGCTACTGGGAAGTGCTCTCATTTCTGCTGGTATATCATGGCATTCGATTCAGTTTTAAGGCACCTCAAAAGGATCCTCAGAAGTCGTGGACCACGCAGGAGAAATATCCGTTCAAGTATCAATAGAGTCGTGGATGCAGTAGAGCAAGAATTACAATGTAACCTCGCGAGAGTTATAGGTCGCGATCGCGAGTTATAAGTCGCGATCCAGAGCTATAAGTCGCGATCGAGAGTTATAAGTCGCGATCGCGAGTTATAAGTCGCGATCGAAAGTTTTAAGTCCCGATTGAGAGTTATGAGTTGCGGTCGAGAGTTATAAGTCGCGATCGAGAGTTGTTAGTCGCGATCGAGAGTTGTTAGTCGTGATCGAGAGTTGTAAGTCGTGATCGAGAGTTGCTGGTCGCGATCGAGGGTTGTAAGTCGCGATCGAGAGTTGTAAGTCGCGATCGAGAGTTGTAAGTTGCGATCGAGAGTTGTAAGCTGCGATAGCGAGTTATGTGTTGCGATCTAGAGTTATAAGTTGCGATCGAGAGTTATTACTTATAAGTCGCGATCGAGAGTTGTAAGAAGACTGGATACAAAGAGAAGAAGAGAAAATAAGTAAATGTTTGCCAAAAGCCTCAGTGCCCTATAAGTATTTTGATATGTCAGACCTGGGCTATTATTTAACTGGTTATTGTAATCATTGTTACCAATAAATTTCTGGTACATGTATGTCAACTGTTTAAGTCTTTAATCTGTTCACACAGGAAGTGCTTTGGAATTATTGACAAAAATTGTTAATGTTAGTGCGAACACTGGAAATAGCATAAGCCAGTGTAATTCTACCCTACAATTACAGTCATCTCACATAACTCCCTGCTACATGTACTAAGGGCTTTTTTTCCTTTTATTCCTTTTAGCTCTGAAAAACTTGGAGTAACAAAGGTGACTGTATTTACAGGCTTATACAATCCTGACTCAGTTTATGAATCTTTATATACAATGTCAGCTCTATATTTGTTTTTGTGCACAAAGTTACATGTAACTTGAATTAGTAATTAGCTATTTCTTCCACGCTTTGTTTTAGCCAGCTTTTCTTTTCTTTTCTTGACATGTTTAGGCGTTTTGTTTTTCCTTTTTTCCCTATTGGCTTCTTTCACAAGTTTCTTGTGTTCTTTTTTGCTCAAAGCAGTTCCTTTTTCATCCAAAACTTTTTCCTTTTGTTCATCATCTCCATCATCACTTTCACTTTCATCATTGGAACTTTCACTGCTATCAACCTCTCTATTGTCAAGACAGTCACCTTTATTTTCCCCACTGTCAACATGCTTGTTCTTAAGGAGTTCAGGTTGTGCTTGTACTCCTGTTAAGTCTGGTTTTAAACCTGTTAGTGTTGAGTACAAAATTTCTTCTGCTTGCCCCTTTTTAGCTCTCTCTGCATCTTTTTCAAAGTCCACAACTTCCTCCAGTGTACGAGGAATGTAAGCTTTCTTAAAAACCTCTTCTTTCACTGATTCTTCTGGGATTTCTTTGACTCCACGGTTCGCAGCTATAGCTTGAGCTCTTTCAAGGTAGTCATCGACATTGTCATCACTGATGCTTGGATCTGTAACAAAGTCAAACAGTTCTCGCACAGTCATGACACACACGCAATTCTTTTTGAAAAAGTCTGTGACATTGGTACAGTCTTTCCTCAAGAACTCTAATGCATGTGGGTGGTCATGTTCAACCGACTGGGAAACATCAATCACATACAGCTTATCTGCTTGGTACAGCATGTTGAATTCACTGAGATCAGCATGAACAAGCCGACATTTCCAGTAAATGTTTCTGACAATCTGGATGCACTGAAGGTACAGCTCTCTAGCTTTGGACTGCGACAAAGTGACATCTTTGAGCAGAGGTGCTGGCCAGCCATCTGTCCCAATAAAACCCATGACCAGAACATGGCTGCGCAGTATAATTGGCTCTGGGCAGGGAATATTGGCTTGGTACATACGGGTCAGGTTGCGCATTTCTTTCTCAGCCCAAGTCTTCACCATCTTGCGAGGGTTGTGCTTGCAGTAACCATGGCGAAATCTGAATTCACCTGTCACATATCTATCCCTGTCCTTAAATGTTAAGATGGAAGTCTTGTACACCTTCACTGCTCGCTCATCCCCATCAACATTAGTACTGTGGTATACATTGGCCTCTTTACCAGTGCTGATACAGCCATTTATTTCACAGATCACTCCTTTGTTGAGAATTTTGAACAGAATCATTCTCGTGCGAGGATCAAGAACTTGTTCAACAGTCGCCCTGTCTGCCTTGTCTTTAGCTCGCAGTCTCTCATTTTCAAGCTTTTTACTCGCTTGAATCAGAACGTTAGCGGCTTTATTCGATAATTTAGGCCCCTCATACCTTTCAATTTTGATTCGATTACCAAATTTTGCTAGTGATTTCTCGTTCGGTTGTAACGTTGATTGGCGCTTGCCAGAAGTGTTCGTAACATTCACCTCTGATCTTGACGCATTGTAGCGCTTAGTAAAATCTCCAGTTTCGTCTTCCCAATCCCATTCTCCAAAATCGTCATCGTCGCTGTCTTCCGATGAAGATTTCACGTGGTCGCTTGATCCGCCATTTTGATTTTCATTTGAGTGATCTTCAGCTTTTGTATTGGTTTCATTTACACTATAATGAGTCAATAACTCAGGTATAACACTGTTATCTTCTTCGGCGTCTTCAAACTGGCCCTCGTGAACAGAAACCTGCCCGTTTTGTTCGTACGCCATATTCGACTAACACTTTAGTTCATTGCAGAACTTATTGCAACACCTATTTTGCGCATGCAGTTAGAATGAGCAGCGGACAATCAGAAAGAGCATGAGCAGAAGTGAGCCCTGCGTGGACCCTGCGTGACGTGTTGTGTTCACTGTAGTTTTTGAAAGAAAAGGCTTGCTGTGACGATCTTTTGTTTACCTTTTATACCTGTCGCTTGGCGCTCTACTCGTAAAATATGCCAGTTTGTACACAGTAGAAGTTCTGGCAGAGAAGCTTCGCGGCTCAAATTTCTACTGAAACGTTTGCGAGTCACGTGCTGCGTACTATGTCATTCAAGACCGTGACATGCTCTCATGATTATCGATAGTAGACTCTTTGAAGAAGCTTACATCATATCTTCCGGGCTATCAGTTTCATTACCGGACTTCTGGAGATGTTTTGACAGGAAGCTGAAAACTATGGATACGTGTTTTATTTAAAGGCGATTCTTGTGCTGCTGTTGTCTTGAAAACACTGCGAACATATAAGCTTATCTGCATTCAGGTTTTCAAGATCTGAAGAAGTGGAAGATTTTTGAAAAAACGAAAAACGGTTTAACAGGAGCCTTTGAAGCGTTTTCATCAGTTGACGATTGAATAGAGTTTATTGGTAACTTTTATAGCAGGATATAAGCTTAAATCACACGCAGTGGATATTTCGTGATGAAAATTGTGAGAGGGGTTTGAACAAGATGCTGATTACGTGTAGAATCGAAAGAAAGGTAAGACTTGACAATATTTTTGTTTCGTACATACTTATTTCTTAGAGAGGAAGTATGTGTTATAAGCTTAACTGCGTTGTTGCTTGAGAGAACTGTTTTGTATGACATTGATTATTTTATGTATATTCACGTAAGAAGCTTTCTGACATCACTGGTGAAACATTTACTGTACGGATACTATATCATGCTGTAATCATAATTATTAACATAATTTTGCACAGGCCACTCTTTAAATTTTGAGTGTAAAATTTTAGAAATCTCAAGTATTTGCCGGCAAATTGGGCAATTTTAGAGTGGTAGTTTGTGCATCTAGTACATATTTTGCATGTAGTAACAGGAACAAATTGCTCCAACAGACTTGGTTTATTTTTGTTGTGCGCGTGACTCTTCAGTAAGTTTTATTTTTAGTGCTTAAGTCTCGAACATGTAGAATGGATTTCATAATATTGCCAGGACAATTTCGAAATTTTGCTGTCAGCTCCTTTTACAGTTGTATAAGATGGCGCAAGTCTATTGCATGTATTTTCCATTTGGTTGGTGTTTCCAATAAGTTTTACCCAGAATGTTCCTGTGGAAAAAGTCCAACTCAATAAGTATGGCTGAGTGCTTTGTTTTGGTGATTAAAATATTACCCTCTGTATCAGTTGCACTCACTAGTGCTCTGAATGTACATCTACATGTTAAGCATTTACACTGTTCATACATGTAAACAATTCATACCGAGCAGTTGCTTGTAAAGATTGACCAGAGTACATGTACATGTATTTTGTAGGTTAGTAATATTTTTGAGGGACGGGTCAAAGCTTGCAGGTGTAAAGTCCAGTAGGATTTGCACTCACTAATTCACTTCTAAAGCTCTGCAGTGCATATCACACAGCAGTGGTTTTCCTATCTCTATGTTACCTTATCTCGTAAAAAGAAATAGCCAAGGATACATTTGCTGTGTGCCCTTATCAAGCCATAGAAACACTTGTGAAAATAAGAGTACTCAAAAAGGCCGTTGAAACACTCTTCTTTGGTTTGTGCTAGCTCCCACCCCATTTCTTGCTCCTGCAAACTTTTACTTCAGTCTGTTTCTTTATTTTGATAGAAGCACAGAAAATATTTTCTGTTGTTGAAGTGCCTGTATCCTCCCCAAATTTTTAGCAACTTTTAATCTTTGAGTTGTGCAAAGTGCGGCAAAATTTCAAGCAATTGTGAGTACAAGTACATGTATGATGCTCTAGCCCCTCCTCCAAAGGTCTTTCTTACAGGAGCACCCAAAAGTTTCTTACTGGCATATTTAATCAATTTAAAATTGAATTTATTTATTGCATCTATGATAATTTCATCTTTAACAGTACTACTTAACAACTGTAATTTCAGTTTGAACTTCCCTCGAATATTTTCCCAAAACAATTTCAATATTGCCTGTTGAGGATGTGCAGGTCAAATAGCCCCAGGCTATTGGACTCAAGTTTTTTTGCACACAGGTTTTGGGTGAAAACCATGAAAGTCAGGATAATCTTTTGCAAAACTAAGCAAAAATGCAGAGGAGTTGATCTGGTTGGGTACTCCTGAATTTTCATTGAATTTTAATATTATTGTCACAACAGTTTTCTTGTCCAGAATAGTCCATTTTACAGTTGTCTGCTCGGTGACCTGGCCTTTGAATGGCAGCAAGGCTGGAGGTGACCTTGCTTTGATACAGACCTCTCTGCTTTTGTCATGTAAATTCACCTAGTTAGCATTAGAACAACTTGATTTACACAACAAAAAAGCATTGAGGTCTGTATCTAAACAAGGTCACCTCCAGCCTCGCTGCCATTCAAAGGTCAGGTTACTGAGCAGACAACTGCAAAATGGTCTGTTGTAGAATCATTGCACATACTGTACATAAAAGAAAATGTATGTGAACTGATATTACATAAAGTACGAAAATAGTTAGATATTATGTATTACATGCACTTTACCTATAGTGTATACATGCTAATGCAATCTTTTGTCTTACAACAAGAACCAAATGCTGGTTTAGTACATGTAAGATTGATACTTTGTCTTAATAGTTCTTTACATAGAAAAACAAGTTACAAGTTAAAGTCACTGCAATGTCAACCCCAAAGACATCCTTTGCCAGTCATTATTTACTGGAATCAGAACTTTCACCAAAAGTCAATATCGCCATGTCAACAGAAGAACTTCCTGGGAATGGCAATTATTATGATGAGGTGAGGTGCTAGTATTATACAGTCATGTGGATTGTACAAAACGGCTTGTCAAAATTCATGGGGGCTGGAAATATTTCTTTTAGGCAGCAGTACATGTTGGCCTTTCAATACTGTGAAAGGTGCTGTTGATTGATTTTATATAGTTTTTTTCCCTCTCAGGCACCATCTTGTGCCAGTGAAAACACAATTTCACTGTTAATATATATGCATGTCCAAGTGCTCTTTTCAGATGAGACTGAAATTGCATTCTGATTGCATGGCCTTTTTGGGCTCTTCAAGCTCATCTGGACACTGGAGGCTTTCCAGTCTGGAATTTTCAGCCTGGGATTAACTTCAGCCTGGACTGAAACTTAAATTTCTGTGTACTGTAGTTGCACCAGCCTGTTAGTGTACTTTACATGTACTGTTTATGATTAGTGAGTTTAAAATCTGTTTCAGTATTTGTGTAGGGTCCGGAACTTTAGACTGCAAAACAGTTGTTTTTGAACGTTTTCGGAAGGCGCGAAGTGCCGTAAGCACGATCCTTGTGTGTGAAGCGCGTGAGGCGAGAAAACGACTGTTGGCTTTTCATACAACAAATTTGTTCTAAGCAGGGGACGTATAATGTCACTGAAGTGACAGAAATTGCCCGCATTCACAAAAAATACAACTGTTTTGCCGTCTACCAGAACTTGGGGCCCCTCATGAAGGTGGCAAGTTTTATTGTTTTTCTTTTTATTTACTCCTGATTGACAAGTATTGCAGCTGCAAGTACATGTACATGTATAGTTTGAGCCCAATATGAAAGCTCTGGAAAAGACTTACAATGCATCTGTCAGAACTTGAGTTGACAATAAGGAATAGAAGGAGAAGTTGTAGAAATTTAATTATGAGTTTGTACAATCATGTGTGTTTGATAGTCTTCAGAGGAGGAGGATGAAATTGATTCAACTGATGTGAAGGATTTTGATTCAGCTTTGTTTGATGTACTGAAGGTTCAACCTGAAGAATTTGCTGTAAGTGACACGTTTTATGTTTTTATGTGGACGGAACAACATATTTAACTGCCTTTAGTTATGAATTTTTCTTCATCACCTGTGGTGCTTATTTGATTATTGGAGGTGCTTTGTCATTTGTACAGTGTATGCATGAGGTGCTTTGGTCATTACATGTATATGTGTGGTATTTTTGTCATATGCTGTACAGTGCTTTGGTCATTATATATATGCAGTATTTTTTCATTAATAAATTATATTAGGTGCCTTTAGCTTAATTATAAGGTATATGCATTTCATTATATTCATTATTTTATGAGGACAGGTGTTTTTTAACATTGTGTTTTGTTGTATATTTCAATATATACTTGGCGGTCACTTTCTTATGTTTTGTTTCACCCTCTCCTTCCTCTTCTCATAACCCTGTAATTTTCCTTTCATGGACCCTCTTCTTTTCCTCTCTATCTTCCTCTTATTTCCCTTCCAATACCCTCTCCTTCCCTCTCCTTTCCCTCTCCTTTTCACACTACCCTCTTCTTTCTCTTTTCCATATCACTCCATTCCATTTTCTTTCTCTATCTCTTTCCCCTTCCTATCTCATCTCATTTCTCTTCTCGTCACCCTGTCTTTTCCCTTCCTATCTCCCCCTATTTTCACCCAGTCCTTTTTATTCTCATGACCCTCTCCTTTCCATGCACACACCCTCTCCTTACTCTACCTATCATGTTACTACCTTCTTTTCCTTTCCATCACCCACTCTTTGCCATTCCCACCACTCTCTCCTTTCCATTCCTATCAAATCACTCACTTCTTTTCCTTTCCATCACCTTCATTTTTCCCTTCCCATCGCTCTCACCTTTCCTTTCCCATCACCCTTTTGTTTCCCTTACAATCACTCTGACTCTCTTTTCATTACCCATCACTCATTTTGGACTTTCCCATCACTCATTTTAGACTTTAATTTTTCAGACGATCCTCCTGAAAACCACCTCTAGGTGATTGGAAGCCTCTCCTTTCCCCTCCCATGTCTATCTCCTTTTCCTTCCTACAGTACATGTATCAACTTCTCACTTCCCTTACCCTTTTCCTTTATCTCTTACTCTCATTACTCTTTGCATTACCCTCTCCTTTTCTCTCCTATCACCCTCTTCTCCTTCTCTTTTCATTTTTCTTGCAGGTTTCTTTTATCTCTATAATTTTTCCTTCCGATCTCCCTCACCTCAGCCTTCACATCTCCCTCTTCATCCCTTTCTTATAATTTATTCTTCTTTTTTCAAGATCTTCTCCTTTGTAACTCTCTTTTCTTTGTTATCACTAATCTCCATTTTGTTGCCTTCTCCCTTTTCTTCACTTTCCTGTGGCTCTCTCCCTCTCCCTCTCCTCTGCATTTACATATGCTTCTCCTTCCTCCTCATATTTCCATTTTCTTTCCCTTCCCATTTCCTTTTTTTTATTTCTTCACATCACCATGGACTCCTTCCCAACTGTGCCTCTTTCTCTTCTCATCTCCAGTTTTTTCCCTACTTGATTCTCTGCCTCCCATTCCTACTTCCTTCTTCTCCCCTACCTTTGGTATAAATTAATAAATATAAATTAGTTTAACTTGCTTGTTTTGATTTGTTTCTTAACAGCAACAGCTCACTATTTTGGATCTGTCTGTGTTTAAGTCAATCAGTCCAGATGTAAGTTAAACTTGTGTGTAAATTTCTGAGTGAATATGGCAAATTGCAGACATGTGTTTCTTAGTGCTTTGGGTCATGAAACTGAGGAACAAATTAAATAAGCAAATAACAAAATTCCCTTTGACTTGTAGCTTTCAAAAGGTGATTTGGACACTTGCATTTAGAGGTCGTAAAAGAATTTGACAATTCATTTTATTTCAAACTTCTTGGTATAGTTTGATAGCCAGCTCTATAAGCTTTAATTTAATATGTAGGGGTTTACATACATTGTAACTACAGTTTAAACCAGACGCACTACATCGCTTGGATATGAGATAACTACAATCGTGGTCACAAGTGTTGGGACAGTTTATGGCAGATGACTTCACGGGCAGCCTCTCTTAAAATCACAGGGAGCCTCTCTTGAGACCAAGACCATGTAAGCCTGCCTACCTTCCACCCCCCTGTCAATGTTGATAGAAATCTTGAAAACAAACAAAACACCTTGATAATAGCTTCAGAATAGCCACGTTTCAAGAATTGTTTGCCTCCTAGAACAGTCTTCTCCAACTAAATTGATGATAACATAGGTATTCATGTCTTATTCCAATAATAACGATTTTTCAGCAGTCATGTTCGCTTCCAACACAACTGTCAAACCACTTTCTATTGTCCCTTTTTCCTTTTTAACACCATCTGATCTACTCCTCAGAATAGCTTCATTTTTTTCAACATTGGTCAAGGACGTAGTTAAAATTGTGGGTTTTTGCACGCAAAAGGAAAGGTGTCCCAACAACTTATGGCCAGGATTGTAGCCATAAAGGTATACAGTAGCCTAAAGACTAGGTGTTTAATGCCCAAGAACACAACACAGTGTCCCCTGGCAACGCTCGAATCCAAACCACTTGAACTAGAGTCAAGCCTGCTAATAAGCTTAAGGCCACCGCACCTCCACAAATCGCTCTGGGGTGGTTTTTTGTTCATTTGTTATTTTTAACATTAACACATACATGTAACTGTCTTCATTAGGAGTTATCAGGCTGTGGCTGGACAAAGAAACAAAAGCTAGATCTTGCACCAAATGTAGTGGCACTTACAAGGAGATTTAACCATGTAAGTCATGTGCATGTACATAATAAAACTCATTACAGTTGTTAATAATTATACATCTTAACCAGCTGTGAAACTGAAGCCTGAAAAAAATTCAGGCTTGAGTGGGATTTGAACCCTTGACCTCTGCTATACGGATACATTGCTCTAGATACCAACTGAGCTATAAAGTCAACTGGGAGCTAGTCACATTGTGAGTTCGTAATAATACCCTGTAGATGATGAAGATACAAATGAAAATATGAAAGATGATATATTTGAACTGTGGGGAAGATATGAAGACACGATTGATTAGCACATTTATATACACAACTTAAGCAGCTGTGAAATTGAAACCTGAAAAAATTCAGGCTTGAAGTGGATTTAGGATTAGGATTTTGATGATGTCAGATGAGAATCACCAATTTGTATTACTGGACTTGTAACAATGACTGAATAATTTACATGTATAACTATTCATCCATTAGCTAATAATCATACTCTATACAGGTGAGCTTTTGGGTAGTCAGAGAAATCCTCAATGCCAACAGAACAAAGACAAGAGCAGCAGTTTTAACTCACTTTATTAAGATAGCTAAGGTAAGCCAATGATGAACCTGAGTCATTTCCTTGTCTACAGTCATGTTACTTTTGTTAAGACAAATGTACATGTAGCTGTTTACACTAAGTTATGAAAAAGTACTTATGACAGTACACTTACCTTAGTTTATTGATGTCAAGTTGACACTCATATCCAATACACCCAATCTGTAACAGGTCGCAAAAGGGGTGACGGTTTGCAACGGATTGTGACGGTTCACCGGGTCGTTATAACTCGTCACGAATTGTCACAGACTGTCTCGACGATCACACCGGAAGTCATGTCGCGAAAAGGGATAGCAGAAATAAACAGGCAAATGAAGTGTGTGAATATTCCTCGTTCTTAAAAAAAGCGGCCACAAACATTCGCACAAGTGTAAAGAATGATGCACGCTAATGATGAGTCTCTCGTAAACTGACAAACGGTCATGAATCGTCATCATCTGTCCTGGTCATGATGATCCGCCGACATGTCGTGAACTGCACAAATGGTGACTGGTCGTTGCGATCTGTCCTGATCGGGATGATCCGCCAACATTTTCACCTCCCTCCATAATACTGCCATAAAAATTATCAAAGTCTTTCTTGAACAGACAAACTGTCAGTATGGTCACCATCCATCACAGGTCATCGTGATCTGTCCCGATCGGGACAATCCGCCAACAATTTCACCCCCCTTCAAACGGCAAACGGTCAAGGGTTTGTTACCATCTGTCCTGAATGTGACGATCTGCCGACATGTCGCAAACTGACAAAAGGTGATGGGCCGTCACGACCCGTCATGGATCATCACCAGTTTGGTGACCCGTTACGAATCAGGTGTATTGGACAACCCTCCAAGTTGATGATCAACTAGAGTATACTTGGGAATTTTGTTTGGTGTTGGAAACATTGTAAAAATATTTTTGTTAACAACACAGAAACTTTTGGAGTTAAACAGTCTTCACTCTCTGAAGGCAGTGATATCTGGGCTTCAGAGTGCACCTATCTATAGACTGGACAAGACTTGGGCAGTAAGTTGATTAATTATAACTTACAATAGTACGCAAAACATGTGTGATATTTTAATATTCCAGGTTAAGTACGTGTAAAGTCACAGAAACCAGCATAGGATCAGGGGGTTAAAATGAGACTTTACATGTACATTGGCCATAGCTCTGCAATTAGGTTCCATAATATAGCGTTTACAATACACTTTCTATTGGTACCCTGCAGGGAGCATTTACTGAAAATTCAGGAGAGAATGTTTGTTTCCTTAATCTTGCATATTACTGTATTTTGTCAAATATAAAAGGAAAGATTATGGGCCATTAATATATTTGTGTTTTGTGTGTGGGAATTATTACAGTCATGTATATGATTATCACAGCTGACAACTATTGTTGTCATTTTTTAACAGCAAATTCAGCGCAGAGATCGTGCCCAGTTTGACAGGTTGGCAGAACTTCTTTCAGAGGAAGAGAACAGGTAATGTTGCAATTAATTATAGTCCTTGATCGAGTAGTTTCAACTGTGCATAATAATAGCATAATTATTTAAGATATAACCTATATACATGACTGTACATTTACATGTGTATGATGTAATCTTAAAGCAGTTTATTTCCAAAATATAAATGTTGGGAAATAGACAAAACTCCAAGATAGCGTATTAATTATATAATGTAACATCAAACATGCATTACTGATTGTAACATTTTGATCATGTACACAATCTACAGTGTCCACTGTGTGCATGGTGAAGGTACTCCATGGAAGTACTTCATTTCAGCTACAGGCCAGATAATGATTTTAAGACTGTGCATCATCATCAATGGTAAAAATTGTACATGTACAGGTACAATTCAGACTGCAGTACTGTTCAGACTTCATGCATATAGTTAAACCTTATTTTATGATTTGGGAATTGTCAAGTGAATTTAAAGTGCCTATAAACCCAAAAATTATTTTTGGCGTAAACAAATCTTTGTATAATTCTGACATGCCAAGCAAACTTTATTTTTTGATTTGCACCAGGAAACAACTGAGGGATTACTTGAGTTCTGTCAAACTGCCCTGTATTCCATACTTAGGTAAGAATATATACATGTACAGTGTATCATGTCCGTGTTTGATAATAATAGTCTGAATATTTATACCTACGTGTAATTGTACCTCTTTGGTAGGCTTCAGCAGCATAGTAGTTGAGATTGGTCGACCATTGGCTTGTATTTTGACAAGATGTTGCATGTATACATACATACATACATACATACTTTTATTCCATGTCCCCAAGGGGCTTTTCAGTGAAATATGTAACAAACAACAATAAAGTAATCTACCTGATGTGCAAGTTATGTAGGGCATGTGAGGAGTTTAGTTTCGGTGGGAAATTTTGACCCCAAAACAAATGCTCAATGTTTAATTGTGAGCTTAATTAAATATTCTGTAGATT